TCCTTAAACAGCTGAACCTAAACTATCCACTTCCAATGAACCTCCATCAGCCAAATCACACACATCAATGAGGAGGGCCGGAGAAAGCAGGCAAGCCCCCCCCCCCAGCCCCCAATACCTCTTTCTGAATTAAGGGAAAGTTTCTCTCACTCGCTGTTTATTGTTGATTTGGCCTTTTTTTCCCCTTTCTTAAAAAGAAACAGATTTGCTTGAAGGGGGGGGGGGAATAACAGAAAAGCAAAATGCAGTGACTGACAATTGGAAAACAAATGAAATCCCAATACCTTCCCGTCTCATGCCAACTTTGAGGCATTTTTTGAGCCGGCAGTACTGACACTGATTGCGGTGGTGCTGGTCAATGGGACAGTTCCTGTTGGCACGGCAAGTGTAGCTCAGGTTCCTCCGGACACTCCGCTTGAAGAAACTCTTGCAACCCTCGCAGGTAAATTGGCCATAATGTTTGCCACTAGACTTGTCCCCACAAACCACACACTCAATGTGCTGTTGCTGCTGCTGCTTGTCTCCTCCTTGGCTCTGCTGGCTTGGCTGGTTGGTCTGGGCTGGAGTGCTGGGGGGCCCTCCTTGTCCCGGGGTTTGTGGTGTGTGAGGGGCCCCAGCGGGTGGTCCTTGCACTGGAGGGGCTTGAGCAGGCTGAGTTCCCTGAGCTCCGGGTACATCGTCCTGGGGGTCTCGCCACGCACCAACTACCATTGCCATATCTATTGGACACCGTTTCCAAACTGCCTGTCCCCCCTTTATTTTTAAAGTTTGTTTGCTTGGTTTTCAGATCAGCTTTGCAGCAGTTTCTCTCTCTCTCTCCCTCTTTTTTTTCCCCTTAAAAAAGGAGAAAAGGGGGGATGGGGGGACAGAAAAAAATGCCAGCGAAGGCGGAGAACGAGGGGTGTTGGGGGGGGGCAGATTGCGAGTCGATTGTCTGGCGTAAAGACAGAAAAGTAAGGGGGTGGTAGGGGTAGGGGAGAGAGAGAGAGAGAGAGAGAGAGAGGAAAAAAAAATCTCTTCAAAGATCTCCCTCTCTCCCTCTCTTAGAGCTGATCTGCTGCAGAGGAGTTGAAGGAGGAGAGGCGAGTGTCGGGGGGCCAGGTCCAGGGAAGCTCACAGTTAGCCATTCAGGAAAGCCATCAAAATAAGAATGGAGAAAAGGTTACAGATGACACACAGGCTGCAAAGGGGGAAAAAAAAAATTGCACAACTGAAAAGACTTTTCTGGGCGCAGAAAGCGGAGGGCTTCGCTGTAGTTTTTTGAAGTCCAGGTTGTGGAAACATCAACCGAGATCAGCTTGGCTTCCCCCCCCCCCGCCCCTTTCTTTCCGCTGCTTCTTTCTCCTGCTCTCTCTTTCTCTCTTTTCTTTTCTTTTCTTTATTTTGCTGCTGCTTCTTCTCCTCCTGCTGCCGCTGCCGCCGCTGCTCGCTGCCTTGTGCCGCGTCTCCTTCTTTGCAAGTGGGGCTCTTAGCGCAGTTGGTTCACACAACACATGGGGTGGAGGGGAGGGGGGGGAGGGGGAAGGGGGAGGTGAAGGGAAAGAGTCAACTCTCCAGCTTAGAGCTCAGCCAGTGATAATGATAAAAGAGGAGAGCAAGGAGGAGGAGGAGGAAGAGGAGGAGGAGGGAAAGAAGGATCACAACCTAGAAAACTGCATCGTTCTTCATGCAAAAAAAAAAAAAAAAAAAAAAAAGGCAAGACGAGAAGAGGCACAGGAGGGACAATCAGCCCCCCCCCCCAGCAAAAAAAAAAAAAAAAAAAAAAAAAAAAAAAAAAAAAAAAAAAAAGCAAAAGCAAAAGAACTGCGAATCAAAGTGATCAGATATGCTAAGAAGGGGGGTAGGGAGTGACTGCGGTGTATAGGAGCGGGGCTGGCAGAGTGGTGAGTGCTTTCCCTGCGATCAGCTCGCCGAGCTCTCTATATAGTGAACTTTGACACGACTGCTGCAACTTAGCACACGTTACCATGGCGACCGCTCGCCTTATAAGGCAGCAGACGGTGTTTGACTGGTCAAAAGCGCCCGGACCTCCCCTCGCCTCTCATTGGGCCGCTCTGCCTTGCGCTGGCTGGCATGGCTGCCGAAGCGCGCTGCCCGGTCCTAAAGGGAGAACGCTTCGCGGACAGCTGAGAACGGAGGCCTGGGGTGGGGGTGGGGGTGATTTTTAAAAAAAATATGATTGTTATTATATCTTTGCACTTTCACTTTGCCTTAGTTGCAGGATCTTTCCTAAGAATGGGAAGGGTGGGGGGGGGGGGGGAATAAGGCTGGAGACCCATATAAATATCCATGGCAAAATGAGACTGAAATAGTCTTTGTAGCGCTCAGACTTTATTAACTCTTTGATCAGGCACGAGGAAAAAAAAATCTGATCATATCATCACCTGTAAGCAAGAGAGTTAAATTACATTTTCCTGTTCCCCATTGTGGTGATAATGTCATAAAAATAAATTCCTGATGGATTTTTTTTCCCAAGGGGGAGGGAGGGTAAAAATAACAGCTACTGTGCTAAATAAGGTGATCGGATGCGATTCTTATAAATCAAAAATTGGGGAAGGAGGGCTTTCAGAATTGATATTCTTCAGTGACTACCTTCTCCCTTTAGGGTTAAAGTTTCACAGGTATGTAGATTTAACTTTTAATTGCTCAATCCGCGGAGAGGATGCTGACAAAAAGATAACTGTGTCACTCGGATGCTGCAGTTAAAAGACATGATCATGACCCTTATTCAGCATCATTTTTAAAAAAACCCTCTAAAATGGAGTTAGCTGTAAACTATAATTTCAGTATCTGCAGCCCTAGCTAACTATTGTGAGTGATTATTTGCAAAGGTAGAGATACCTGTATTCATACCATACACATTAGTGTAATGTCTGTATGTATGCTACATATATATTAGAGATACATCTATCAATGTATATAGACAGAGACATCAGTGAATATGGTACTTGATCACAGAATAGTTGAGTATAGACTTCATTGTTTCTTGACTGCTCTGGCATTTCGAGAACCATTCTTTTCATCAAACACCCAAACATACACTGGAAATAATTAGCATACAAATACACACCACACATGTCTGACTATCTATATATGTGAACACATACCCACACATTTATTCTGAGTTGCACCGGGTTTACAGAAATAGCAATGATTTAATCGAGAACAGCATATCTTACATTCATTATGTTGGAAAAATTCAATGCTGCTTTCCAGAATATGAATTTCTTTTCTTTTATCAGAAAGCGAGGCGGTTTGGTCATAACGTAATACATTTCTAGCTATTCAACTTTATTCTTTTTGTTTTAGGCTAAGCAGAAATTCACGGATAACACACAGGGATTCGGTGGCATTGTGACGCGGTAGCACAACCTCTGTACTATATACGGAGCAATTCTAAATAGGTAACCGATCTAAGTACACAGGGGCAATTGTTTATACCCTATTGAACCTGGGTACTACGCACCATAACAGAGATAGTTAGTTTATTTTCTATTGAATATCTGCAGCAAGCACCAGAACAGACAAACGCATGGATAGATAGAAATCAATTTTAAAATACAGAGATCAATGGACAGGGAGACAGTTGCTTCTATACAAATATACACATACATATAAACACATGTGTGAGATGGGGACTTATACACATACAGTCAAACTAAGTAGAAACATGGGGACACAGATGCATACAAAACTATATTCAGGATTAATTGCAGCAGCTTTCCCCCTCCGCACACACTTTTTCATGTTGCCACATGCACACCCCTTCTGCCGCAGAAATAATATATGTCTCTAAAGCCGCAGGTGCTGAGATGATTGGAAAGTTGTAAAAAGCACCTAGACTTGACACTGTCCTGTTTATAAACCTGGAATATAATAAGATTCCACCAACAAAGATGCGCGCCTGGTCAATTTCAAAGGCAGGCTGTAGAATTCCAATTGATCATGATGTAGCAATATAAACCCTTAACTTAAATAGTAATCGAGGGGGAGACAGAAAGAAAGGGGTTGGGGGAAGGGACCTTTTACGGTTAAAATGTGGAGAGCTGCCTTATGATTTCCAAATAACGCAGACATTAGGGATCACACCTTTTGGTTGAGAATATAAAACATAGTTGTTGAATGTAGTTTATGTGGCATGTCTTGGAAAAGGTTTCCTCTCTCAAATCTTATAAAGTACACAGGGATAATTCATCATCTAAAAACATTAACATCTTAACAAGTGCAGAAAGAGCGTTTATTTTTTTAACAGGGTCCACATTATGAATAGTTTGAATATTTGATCTACCTATGTATGCTTAAAAGCTCCAGTATATTCGGATTACTCAAACTATAATGAAGAATACCCCCGATTAACTATTTGCTCTTCGAGGGATACAAGAATACAACTATTTATTAGGTAGTTTGCTATTTATTTGAAAGCACCCCTGCGATGTAGGCTGATGTGGAATAGATTAATATAATGATGAACTGCAGCTAATTTTGCTGAATAATATTTGAAAAATGAGTGTATCGCTGATAGAGGAAGATTCTAAAATGTCCTTATCAGAGCTAAGTCATAATAGTACAGTTATATTTCGAAAGTAGGATGGTATTATTAATCATTATTATTCTATTATTTATTATTGTTTACAAAAAAGAATAAATCCCTCCTGCCATTTTACTGCAGATGTAAATTTATTTTAATGAGCGGAGGGCGGAAAGATTTATGTTTACTAAAATAAAGTTTGGGATAGCCTCCGTGTAAATCGTTAGAAAAGAGGGGGAGATCTGTTTTTCTGGCAGAAACTTGCCTAATAGTCCTCTAATTCTTTATAGATTAAATCGCAATAGGAATACAGCACCGAACAAATACCGAGTTTCACTCTGAACTCAGTGGAAAGCAGTTACGTCTAACAGAATGCAATGAATTCCTCTTCTCCCTGAATATAGTATGTGTGTGTTTTTCTCTTCCACCACACTGAAGTTCCATGAATAGGGAAAGTGGCTCCTATTGTGTGCCTCTGAACTTCCAAGTCAATGCAATTTTTAACCACTGGCTTGTGGTACTTTGAAAATCACCAGGGGCTGTCAGAGTTGGGTCCTCTGAAAAATTTACAGTGCTAAATCAGAGCATATGCTGTGAGAGAGGGGAAAAAATTGCTTAAGATTGGAGCAAGTACAGTATCTGTCTGCCCCCTAGTGTAAGTCTCTTATCTGCCTAAAATTCAACTTTAAAAGAAAAGGATCTCTTAAAGGGAAACGACTTTTGGCTCACGTATACATACGAGAATGAAACTTCTGTGCATTTTAATCTGATTAATTCCTAAGGATTTAAAATTAATTGGCTTGGACACTCCTAGATCGGACAGTAAGATTTCTGCATCAGGGTTTCTCCCAAGCCCTGTGTTGAATAGGTATTTTTAAGCGGGGGGGACGGGGGGGGGGTGATTGGTTTGTGATTTTTTTTTTAAATGAGAAGCCATGCCTCTCACGCTTTTGTCAGAACAGAGCAGTTTTGCTGCTTAAAGTCAGATCTGCACCTTTTGCCATAAAGAAGGATAAATATTTGCCTTAGAGCTGCAGACCAGCTGCCAACCGCACCTTTCGATGGTGAGTATATATTCCTGCTTCTTCTCATTGTACTTGCTTAAAACCGAAATTGTTTCTGGTGGGAGAGACGGGTCCTCAGCGCTAACATATTCAACACCGACCTTTCTCAAAATAACAATAAATAATAATAGTAATAATAAGAATTAATAAAAAAACGCTGCCAGCTTCACACGATTACAAAAGTCCGTGCAGAATCCCTAGCAGTGAAGTTAGAGACTTAGTCCCCCCATCCCTAATAGTCAGTTACGATAACCAAGTAGAATTAGTCAGTTACTATAACCAAGTACCCTTTCACAGAAGGGCTATTCGTTCTTCACTCTTGTTTGAAATGACTTTGATGCACGTTTGTATATTAGCTTTTGAATCTGATTTGGGGTCGTTTTGTTTATTTTTGCTAAAGGACGTGATAACTGATGATGCTGTAATTGCAGACACTGGGTCTCTCCCCCCCCCCCGCCCCCGCCACCCCTTTCGAGCAACCCACGTAACCTTAGAAACGCTAGTTTAATACGCAAGTTATCTAACAATTGTTTTCTTAAGAGAAACACAAGATCACAACACATTAAAAAAAAAAATTGTGAGAAAGAAGAAGAAACTATAAGTAAACATACCAAAACCATATTTGCCTTGTTCAAGGTCCCAAATCGCTTGCATCTTCTTTTTCTACCTCTCCTTTAGTTTGGCAGGTGAAACAAACAAACCCAAAAAACCGCTGTTTGCCCCCCTGAAAAGAAGCGCGTTGGGTAATTAACGAGAATCTCCTTCTGGGTGTTTATCTAAGCGATTGTGCAAACTGATAAAAAAAAAGAAAGTAAATCAATAAATAAAAGAAAAGGACGCTACAGCCTTCGAGGGGTGGGGGGAGAAAGAAGGAAGGTGAAGGGAATAGATCTCCCCCAACCTAAAGGGAAGTGATTTCCGTGTGTTATTAGCGTTCAGCCTTGGGGGGGGAAAAACAACAACTGAACACTCACTCTAACTTTGCCCAGACAGGGTTTGAGGGAGAGCTTTGTACATAGCTATTAGGAATGTGCGCCTCGCCTTTAAGAGAGAGAGAAAAAAAAAACAACCCACCCAAACCCAAGGTAGGAGAGATGTCTTTGAGTGATCCTTGTCTCTCATCTCATTCCTTAGAAGGAAGAGCGTCTTGCTACACCTTGTTTGGAGCTGAAAAGACCCGAGACTTAAAAACCAAACCAAAACAAAGGGGGGGGGGGACAACAACAACCCCACAGCCCCCCCCCCCCCAGTCCAGCCGGAAACAATATAGATAAATAAGAGTGAAATCTCCTAACTTCGTGAGTGTTGTGGTCGGATGTATGCCCCCGATTTCAAACCCGCCAAGAGAAAAACCGCAAACAGCTGCAGGCGAGCGATCAGCACATGCACAGAGAGGGAATTGGGGGGGGGGGGGGGGGTGGGTGGTGAAGGGATAGTGTCCTGGGAAGGGTCGGTAGGGAACGCAAGCACATGCTAAAGCAAGCTGGAAAAGAATCGGAGCTAACCGGGGAATCTCTCTCTCTCTCTGCCCCTGAAATCCCAGCTAGAAGGACTTACTCCACATAGTTATTTTAAAATGGGGGAAAAAAAAAAAACAAGTCCATCTATAAAACCCGCTGTTGCTCATTAAAACCCCTAGAAAGACATTTCCCCAGCCCTTCACAAACATGGCAACTTTAGAAATGCAAAGCGAGGCTTCGCGGTTTTACTTTGTTAATTTTTTTAAAAAAAATTGAGGCTCCTGTTGCAAACCTGAGATTACTCCCATTTTCTACCCCCCCCCCCCCCCCAAAACAGTCCTTCCTCCTTTCCTAATGAACGAGACGCTAGCTCAGGGAGAGTTTGGGACAATTTGGAATACATTATGCTGCATTTGGCAGTCTAGTACAGTTTTAAACTTAATGGATTCCTGTTTCTTCCTTTTTGTTTTAAGAAAAGAATGGGACACACACACACATACACACACACACAGATCTTTTATTTTAGGAAGCTGTTATGGTAAGAAGTGTGTCAGACTTGACAAATGGAACAAACCTTCTTCCACTCTTACTTGTCTTTGCCTTAAAACAGGAATTAAGTTCACCACAGTTCTGAATGTTAATTGCATGTTTACTGAGCTAATGAAAATTAGGAATGGGTTTTAGCTCCTCAAACAAGGATGAAAAAACGATGAAGGCAACTATCATCACAGCCTGGGGGGAGGAATAAACGCACAATATTGCCCAAATTGAGGAAATCTTTTAACTGTTCATGAATACCCTAACTATTGTCGACACAAGTTTCCACTCCTGTGAAGTCTGATCAGTACATGGGAGATGGAGACACAGCCCTGTTGAATGAATTTTTATTATTGCCAGAGGGACATTCAGACTTCCCTCACCCCCATGCAGTCCTCCCCACTCTGCAAAATAAACCCCTTACGGGTGAGAATTCTTAAGGTGTGCTGACAAGCATATGATACGTAGTAAAGTAATTTCCTCCCTTAGCCCACGCCTCCCCCTCCCCACACACCATCTTTCCCAAATGTTCCTTTTCTCTCAATCCCAAGGGTTGGGAGGGAGGGGGGCAGAGGACGGGAGAATTAAACCTCCCCCCGGGTTTATCCTTGCAATCCAAGGATGAAAGGATGACCTAATAATTCAGTTTTATGATAACAATTTTCGTGCTTGAAAACAAACTGCCCATAAGGAAACAAGGAAGAGAGAGAGAGAGATTGTGGACTATACCTTTAAGGATTCTTCCCCCCCCCCCCACCTCGCTCCCGCCCCCCCTCCAAGGTGCTGCCTGGAGGGGATTTAATTAAACCGGCTAAAGATGTTTTAAATCTAAAATAAAAAATAATTCCAGGGAGACGTTTTCCCTCTGCTGTGCAGCTCAGCGTTTGAAAACTTTGGCCCAAGTTGTAGCGACAGCCACAACTCTGCTCTTCAGGGGTCAGAGGTGAGGGCTATTTTAACCCTAAAAGCCTGCGAAAGACCAAGGTTGAAACTAGACTTGCAATACTAATAGCCATAATTACCTCCACCCATTCCAGGGGCATTCCTGCAGAAGAAATGTTAGACGCCGGGTAAGAATATCTTGGGGTGGATCATTTTTTTTTTTTTTTTTAAATAACAGCAATATCAAGGAATTTCTCAAAGTGCTCCCTTTGCCTGTGGGATTGGAGGTTTTTTTTTTTTTTTTTTTTTTTTTGCAAGCATTCCCAAGGCGCTAGGTCTTTGTCTTAGAAGGAATGGAGTGTCTGAATGGTGTGAAAGGGACAGAGAGGGTCGCTTCAAATCGATTTTACTTGTCCTCTCTGTCTTTTCGGATCAACGCCCTTCAATGGTCACATAGGTGCTCTTTCAACCAAAACCTTGTGCAACATTTTCTGCCTGTATTGGTGCTAAATACAATAAATGCTGGGCAGATTTTTTTTTCTTCTTTCCAAAGCAGAAAGCACCCTAATTAAATTGTTTTATATGGACAGTCAAGACAGACCAATTAAGTATGCATTAGTATAAAGATATATTCTGGAGATAATCGCTCTATACAAGATGTGCAAAGTTCCTCCGGCAGAGAGGGTGTAACACCTTTTGATATGGATTCCCCCCCCCCTCCTCCACCAGTCGTCTCCTTTACCTGTATAAGGCACTGGATAAATTAGTTAAAAGCCATTAGTTAGAGTGCTTTATAAACAAAGTTAACATGTGGATGTAGTTGTTTGTATAGTGGAATATTTAATTGTAGTACACATACATAATTACGGCTATATATATAACATGGCTATATAGCTGTAAATTATATATGTGCAGTAAGGGTACTTCAATTATATATATAAATGCAAGTAATATTCAGCTAATATAGAGACAGATGACTAAATACAGACATATAATGAAATATATAGCTGTGTATAAAATATGGATCAAATAAACACACATGCTAAATCTAAAATATGGTTGTGTATTCATGTATTATATTTTATACACACGTGTATACACATACACCTATCTCTGCACTAGTATAAACACATACACATATTATATACTGATTTAATCATTTACAATAGAAAATATTTCACATTCCAGGCACGGGCTTTCCCTGGGATGAAATAACAGATCAGAAGAAGCACTCATGGACTCCTCTTTCTGGCCATTTTAGTACCTTAGAGAAAGCTCTCTAACGTGGGTAGTTATAGAAAATAGGGTTTAATATCTAGTCCGTTGTTAATTGTTTTAAAGGCAGTTTCCATATCCCAGCCCTGACTCATTTTAATCTATTAAAGGGGGTTGGGGGAACATAGCCTCAGATTGCAAGGAGAAGAAGCGTATGGATGGATGTGAAGTTCCTGAGGCACCTTGTATTCCCAGGCACTTCCGAAGAACGACGCTGAGCATGACTTTGCTAGGGAGTGAAACCCTTACAGCGAGACATCCTGATTCCTGCACAAGTGGGACTGAGGAAACAGACCCCTCACCCACGTCCCCCCCTCACTCGACAGTGAATTGTTAAGCGAGGAGAGAGAAAAAAGAGGGGGTACAGAATGGCAAATGGAGTGTGTCTGGTGGCTTGATCGAGATTCATTTTGCTGCTGCAGTTGGAAAGAGTTTAGAACATTACAGGGAGATGGGAGATATGGTGATGCGTAGGTGGTTTAATGTCAAAGTAAACAGGTTGAGAACAGACCATTAAAAACCCTATATTTCTCTCTTTACTGGGTACATTCAAGAAGAAATCATAACATAACTGTAGGAGAGGCAAAGAACTCATCTAAAGGAGCTCTCAGCAAGTCTCCTCCCGGACAAAAGTCCACCTCCTGTTGGGCTGGGTATTGATCAGGAGAGGAGCCGAAGATGTCACCACACTAAATATTTACTGATCACACACAAATAGCCGGGACTTGAACGATTTTCTCCTGTGAGGAGAGTAGAGAGAGAAGGGTAAATCATTTTATTAGTGTGTATAAAGCAAAGAGCACACTCTGGCTTGGAGTGTTTTAAGATGTGTCTTCAGCTGGATGAAAAGAGTTAGGGAAATCGATATCAAGTGATTAGGCGACCCAGTAGAGAGAGGCTGTGAATTTCATGGATTTGGCTATACCGGGATGGGGAAAAGAAAAGAAAAATATATCGGGAGATTAAAGGGAGGAACCCATTGTAGCAGAACCAATGAAAAAATAATACCCAATCAGCCCGAAGAAGGTAGGAAGAATAAGACCCACATTTCTAAAATGATCCCTATCAGCTAGGCAGAGGAATCAGGAGCACACATGAAACAGACAAATAGGAGGCGAATAGGAATTCTATAAGGAAAATACAACTAGGAGAAGGACATAAAAGTTTGCCCCACCCACATGTAAAGCAATGACTGAAACACTGAGAAAATGGTGACAAAAGACATAACAGCGAGAATAAAAAGGAGAGGGTTGGAGTACATGATGGTCAGACTTTGAGATCAAGTTGAAGGGACTTCAGTTATCTATCTCCGTCAGGCAGGAATGTCTTTAATAACAGCAGCTACAGTCAATTCATCTCAGTGGTGGGATTTTGTTCCCACCCCCTAAAATAAACGTGGTGAATAAAATAGATTTTAGTGTTTAACCACAGCGCGTTATACTGTAATAACAGCTCCTCTAGTCTGTAATCTAGAGATTACTGCATTTCTAAGGTGACCACGAATGGCACTTCTGAAAAAGACAACATGATTAAACTCTGCTCTACCCGTCTGAGTATTTTAATTCGGATGGGGATTCTAATGCAGGGTCTTCAATCCCAGCAGTTTTTAAAGGACTATTCAATTCTGTCTCAGGTACAATCATATCAGTTGATGTGTGGTAGTAGGTTATGTACAACTCTGCTTCAGACAGTCGTGGCAAGTAGCAAAGTATACAAAGCTAGAACTCGACAATGACTCTGCCAATCAACCCTAAGGTAGACTATTTAAAGAGTCTGGTGAATTTTTGCATAGAGTAAGTGTTATTGTCTCCCTATTAAAGGGACTAGCTGCCGCGGACATCTTTTCTTTGGGGGAAAAACCCAAACAGGGTGTCACTGAATAGAACTAAGTCAATACGCCCAAGGAAAGTTTTTAGAAGCAGCTCGAATGATGCTATTTTCTGAGAAGGATGGAGGCACCTTAAACTAGGAGCCTCAGAGCAGAACTGATGGGAAAATGGCTTTTCACTTCTCCAAGTGCTAATTTTGCTACCGGGAACAAGCACTGGAGTTAGCAACAGCTAGGAATAGGCAACTGGTTACTTAATATCTAAGAAGTGGCCGAAAAAAATGGCTTTTCATTCCTTTGTGTGCCCTTAATCCAAACGCTATTTTCTCCCTAAATTAAGGCTACGGGGTTCACACTGCCCTCTTGGATCACTAATGCAACAGGAAACCCCAGGATAGACACAGACTAATTAACAGTTTTCCATAGCTGAAGCGGTTTTTAAGAATCCCAGTGGATTAGACCAATATGTTCAGGTGTGAGGCCAGCAGGGCCTATAACGCCTCCCACTATAATCTTATAACCTCTTTACCTAATTCCTTAGATTGCAGATAGGAAGAGTCTGACCCTCGAGGTCGTAAAGAGCTTGGTTTCATTAACCCTTCCCGCTCCAGCACAGAACCAAGGTTAACTACGCTAATCTAAAGGGTGTGTGTGTGTGTGTGTGTGTGAGAGAGAGAGAGAGATGCTAGGGAAGAAAGGAGATTGCAGTAGTGTGAGGTTCAGTGTGGCTGCAAGGTTTAAGAACTCTGATCCTTCTTATTCCTTTTTTCTCTAGTACGAAGGAAAATGGAAATGGAAAGAAAACTGTTTTGCCTGCCTGCATATACATATATAACATCCATACATAAACCTTATAAATATATGCACACTTCGGTAAAACAATATTTTTGATTTACTTCATTGCAAATTTTCTTTTTCCCTACTTTTAAAACGTGGAGTAAATGAAGTATTCTTAAAATGTCAGATATTGCAAAAAGAAAAGTATATTTACCAGCTCCAAAACAATCGCTTTAGATTGCTCTCCATAGTCAAATTATAACTTTTAAAGAAGAAATCTAGAAATAATTCTCAAAGTATATTTGCCTGCTAGCACACCTGGCTGATATATTAATAGGTAGTTGCAGTGTATTGATTCAAGATTAATCATTGATGCTGAAAGTTAATAACTCTCAGATTGTATCTACATGCCGATATATGTATTTACACACACAGAATAACACTGTAGAAATTTGCATTTTTGCTTCATATTCTCTGTTCTTAAATCTTTTAACTTGATATTGAATTGTATCTTTGAATGCTATCAAACTACTTTTTAAGCAAAGAAATTGTTTGTAGGTTTCTATGTATTTCACACAATATTTGTCATATACAAATCTTAACCTATACATTTGAATTGGGTTTTTTTTATTTGCTTGTTTGCTTTTTCCCAGTATGAAGATAGAAATCTGTTAACTGCTGAGGCAGGTGGGTACATTTTTGGTGAGTATGTTTAAATATGATCTCTGCGTACTTTTATGTTATTTTCAAATTAACAAGATAACTGGAATAGCAAAGAATATGAATGATAACTGTAATATGTTCCTGTCTATTTAACACACTCTGATTTTAGAATATAACTAGATTTTAATCCATCACTCTGCTAAACAAAAATTAAAAAAAAAAAGTAAACCGCCCCAATAATAGTAATCATTACCTTCTATTTTTACTTGTCTTCCTTTCAACAGACCTAATAATGAAGTCTTTCTAGTGGCTTGTGATTTTTAAGAGACAAATCCAAAATAATTAGCAGAATCTTAGGCAGTATAGAATCATATACTTATTAAATATTCAGCTTTAAAATAACATTATCAAATATAAAAAAGGAAAGCTTTAGTTTTATTTATAAACATTCTGAGGTTCTTTTAGGGTTTTTTTTTTTTTTTTAAAAAACAGAAACAGATTATTTAGGGAAGCAGTTACTACATTCTAGGGCCTGCATTAGGCATTACTTAAATAGAAATACAGCTATCAGAAATATCCAATAAGCCTAGACAGGGACAGACAGATGTACACACATAACCACAGCTGAACCACATGACATGAATTTAGGAATTTTTTTTTATCAATTACCTATTTATAGCCTCTTAATTAAAACTTCCCCTCCTCTTAAAGGCTGAAGCTTTCTTGGAAATATTTTAAATGCATATTTTAGACTCTGTGTTCTGAACTGAATTAAGATGAGCTATTTTACACAATAGTGAAATCCTTCTCTGTACTGCCTATCAATCTAGTTATACATTTCTTCACATTTCCTCCCTTATTTTTGCAGACACCATTTTTAAAATGGTGCTAGTTTTGTATGAAAGTCTAATTTCTATTTATAAGGAATTAATCAGTCTTATAAAAAATCCTTTGTTTTTGAGATAAATTGAATGAGATTTTATCATGTTAAAGAATTAAACTAAACTGAAAACATTAAAGCAAGGGGATACCAGCAAACAGTGAAAAATGGCAGGTGTGGCCTTTCGTGAAAAGCTTGCCTTATATCAAGAGCCAGGAAGAACAAATTTTAAAAACTAGGACCAGTTTTAGGTTTTAATAGCAAACAATTACATACAACTTTATTTCCAGCTACAGTATTTAATTTGATCTAAGTATTATCTGATAATGAAATAACCCTATTTTGGATTTTAAATATATTAGTGCTTATAAAAATATTATGGTTTTAATCATATCCTAATCTTAGGTATACTTAAGTATTCAGCCTCCTTCGGACACAGACCAGGTAGCTGAAGTCAGTGGAGTCATTTCAGTCCCTATATTTACCCCTTTATATTATAGTATATTTTGTTACTAAATCTAAAAAGTCTTGCTACAAGAGGGAAAATAAATTCATAAATCGAGTGAGATCATTTTCGACACTAGCAATTTAGTGTTATGCAGAATACAGTTATTTACTTCAGCCATTCTTTACACTTATATTCAGCAAACATCTCTGATAGTGACTTGCAAATGTCATTTTGGCACTTTTAAACCTTGCACAGTTCTTCACCTAAAAATGAATCCTTTTGACCGACACTGAGCAGTTAACCTGCCCAATGTGTTTCAGATCCAGTTGCAGTGCTTCATAGGGAGATGAAATTGTCATCCAAATAGTAGAACCTGAGAACTGGGTTGCTTTAGAATGGGAGGGGATCCCTAAAAAAAAAAAAAAACAAAACCCAAAAAACCCACCCGCAATAGTACAGCATGTCATACACCAATAAAACAGATTTGATAACATTGCTCATAAAAGTTTTCTTAATAATAAACAAGAAACTTTATCCCAGCTAAATTAAAATAGGGCAGATGTTGGGTATGGGTCAGATTATCCAGCCTTTCACCTCTTTGCCTTTGGCACAAAGGTGCCTGACTTTTTCTTCATACTATATCAGTTTCTAACTCTAAGGTATTATTCCTTCCCGAGCTTTCTACTTTTATTTTATGTTGTTTTACTGTCTAAAATTCAAAGTATTAATTCAATAACAAACATTCTACTCTTTGGATTGCTAGACCCAGTTAGTGAGGAGAAGCTTTGGATAAAAGTTACGGATCTGTTAGCTTAAAAGAAAAGTAGGAGCAGTAGAAGCTGTTCTTAGATAGCTCAGTTCTGGCTGAGTGGTAGATAACTTTATATGATGATGGTAGCGGCTTCAGTACAACTGGCTTCCAAGGCCTGAGACCTTTAAATTGTTCCCTTGCAGCATGTGTTCTAAATGTTAAAAATGCAAAAGGTCCCATCACTAGAGGTATTTAAAACTAGATTAGACAAAGCCCAAGGAAATATAGTTTAGTGGACAATCCTGTACAGACAGGGGTGGGGACTAGATTATCAAACAAGCCTTTTCCATCAACTGTTTACAGATCAAGACTATTAAATTTTGATGCCAGTACAATGTTATGAAGAAAAAGCACAGTTTTGTCCATTTGGAATAACTAAATTTAGGCTGATATAAGGCACAAATGGAGAGAATTGCCAAAGTTGATGTTTGGCATAGTTTTGCATGGTAGAGTTGATAAAGGCTGGACACTATATGAAAAACACTCCCTGCTTTGCAGCTGATGATGACTTGACACTCAGCTTAGTAAACAACTGTTGAAGGTTAATCAGGATTCTTTTCTGAACTGGATATTTAGAAGGAGGAAAAGTGAAAGCTGTTTCTTTCCCCCAGGCCCCCCTTCTCTTTTCCAAGGCATTGCTAACTTTTATGATTTTTTTTCCTCCTCTTTTACTATCTGTCTTTGTGCCTCAGGGCCAGTGAAAGAACACTGCAGATTCTAGATTGCTTTCAGAGTTTGCCTTTGCTGATGATGGATTACCATGTCAATTTAAACGGCATAGGATTAATTTGTTTCAATGATTTCTCTTTAGGCTGAATGCCAGCCTTTTTTCTATCTCTCCCCTTGCTCTTCAGAATGATAATAATAATAAAACCTTTAAAACAAAACAAAACAAAAAACCCTATCCATATCCCACTTTAAGAGACAATAATAGAAATAGACAAGTTAGGTGTAATGTTGCAACAGAGTTATAGGTTTGAGTGTTTTTATCTCATTCTAAAAGGCTGAAGCATACAGTCAGTCACATTAAAATGAAATTGGATCCAACGTTTATTCAATAAATACTTGTCTTGTAGGTAATCCAGAGCAGAGTGCTTTTGACACATAAGGACTTAATTTGTCTTGGATAACAAGTTATTAATATGGCACATTTAAACTTGCCACCTACAATAAGGTCATTTAGATCTATAACATGACTCACAGGATGGTTTTAGAGAACTTCATAGAAGCAAGAAACAACGTCTGAGACTCTGTCCTAGTTCTAGAATGCTGCTACATATTTATGCATTTTACTCATTGTTTGGATCTGTTAAGGAGAAAGTTCACGACAAGATTTTTGTGGGAAATGAAGCAGCTACTCAGAGATCAAAATTAGGAAAACATCTCCAGCTTTTCTTTTAAAACATAACTGAAATGTCCATGTGGAGTAAGTGACTCGGTTTTTTGAAATAAATAATCTTTAAAGTTATGCTGTCTCTGTTAACAAAGTCATTGCAGGTTTGAAAGTGAAGCTAACAACGTTCATTTCTGGGGTGAAATTCACATACATTTTACATATACTTTGTCCATGTGGTTTGCAAATTACTTTTCTTTCAGTAACAAGCAAGGAAGAGTGAGCATAATCTACCCATAAATGTTACTGCTCTAATTTGACTGTGCAATGTTTGTTCATGCATTAGCTGCACATATAAAGAGAGGTGTGTTATATGGTGGTGATCTATACATAACTGAGCACACATGGATGCTTTTGGGATTGTATTGGACTTCAAAACCAAAGTGGTGTGCAATGAACTGTTTAAAAAATTGGTAACCTGGAAAAAGAATAAACTCAATTTCAGTCCTTCCTCTATCCAGGCCTAATAATGCCTGTAAGAGTTGCATTATGACAGATATAGTTTGCCTTGTGGGCATGCTATACAGAAGACACTTTTGCAGCCAGTATCTCTAGTTCCACAGTAACTGTGAACTGTATTATGCTGTTTTAAAAGTTAAAGGTTTTGGCTGCTCTCAACATAGTATATTTTGTTTCTATAAGAAATAAAATCTCCATATGAGTTCTTTCTGGGAAAAAGGATATTACACATAAGTTGAAAAATGCAGGCAAGAAAGGCTAATTGAATGAAAAGAGAGAATTAGGTTAAAAAATAGAGTGCAATCTAGTATCACATTTTTACTAGCGTAACCTGAAATGAAGGTGTCTCAAAGTCCCTAGTGATGCCAGAGTGTTTAGATGTTGGGCACAGATGGAGACACCTATTGAAATGTGTCTGAAGAAGATTAATAGGACTTGTCAGTGTTGGGAAAGCACTGCTTTGCTGTAAATTTCTACTAGCACAAGATGAATTACCGATGAATGCTCAGTTATCAACCCCATCACTATCATTCGACACTAAATCAAATTGAGCCGTTATCTACAATCAGAAAATTTCTTTTAAAAATAGGCATACACCTTTAGGCTGGAACTCTTGAATAAAAGCACCCCAGAAGACAATACTTTCTGTGTTTTGTGTGTCTCTTCACTAAAGGATATATTTTAAAGTTCTCACACAAAAGGCTTCTTTTCAATAATGAACTCCAAATGCAGTGTACAATTGGGCTTGTCAAATAACAGAAGAAGTTATTCATAAAATATCAGCTTCATCATATAACATCTTTACTAAAAGCCTGATCCAAAATCTACTAAAGTTAATGGGAGTCTTTCTATTAAGTTCAGCAGGCTTTGGATCAGGTCCTATATCTCTGACACAAGGATTTTTGCCCCCCTGGTGATAATGCATAGGTTCCCCTACTTTGGAAGACCATATATCCTAACCACATTTTAATGCCGAATATTGGTCAAGACTCATGATATAATAAATAAATAATAATAAATAATAATTATAATTAATAAGATAAGTAAT